GGCGCAAGCACGAGACGTGCATTATGATAGACGGAGAGAGGCGCCCGACCGAGCAGTTGAGCCGCCTGTATAAAGCGCACAGCAGCGGGTCGATGGGGAACTTGAAGCCCATCACTCAATACTCGCTATATACCCCGAACCACCCTGGGGGGCAATTACCAACTGTGCTCCTAACAGAGGGCACCGCGTACTCCCAGTGCGGAGGCAAACCCAACCCGCGCACGATTTCTTCAACGTCCTCGCGCGAGTAGATTGAAGAATGGTCAGGTCCCCGCAATAAGTTGTCATGCGGAGCCGGCTGGTCGCCCCACATCTCCGCCCAATCAAGGACGGTGTAAACCGCGCCCATGCAACGAGGACCAAGGCGACTCATCGCCTCGGTTACGCGCACCACGTTGACGGGCTCGGCGATTATCGGCGCCGACTCCGTATCAGAATCTTCGCGCTCGGCCGCGCTCGCAGTACCAGTACCCTCCGCGATCCCGGACATCCCACCGTGGTCGCGTCTGATTATTAGGACGCCCTGGGGCCGCGTACTCGGTCCCTCGCCCCCGGACACCACTGCATCTTCATCGGCCTCCGTCTCTCTGAGGTCGAAATCAGGATCCGAGTCGACTCTGGTCGACGGCGTCGACGGAACTCCGCCGTCACCGGACCCACCGCCGTCCTCGCCGCCGGAATTCGCCAATTCCAGCGACGGATCAGAAGAAATACGTGAAAGTGGGGAAACATTACCTTCTTCGTCTTGTACGATCTCAACCTCGCCGACGTTGGTGTTGATGTTGTCCATGACAGCAAGAAACAATAGACAAGAACAACGATTGGGGATTTAAGATTGTAAAAGAAGGAGAGGAATCTCGGCGATAAACCAGAACACGAGAGAGAAAGAGCAGAGCTCAGATGTGAAGAATGAGGCAGAATGAATCCCACTCCCCAAACGGGTCGATACTTATAGTTATTAGAGGAAGGCGAAGGGTTAAAGTAACCTCGAAGATCCCAACCGTCAGACGTTTCGAATTTCAAAATTCGCCCGCCCAAACGAACAAACCAGGCAAGGACACGTGGACACCTATTCGAAGTAGGTACTAGCCGCTGACGTAACTAGTTACGCACAACGCCTGGGGGGCATGGCACACCCGCGAGGAAAAAGAAAAAATCTCGCAAAGATCGCGCACACGATTCAGAATCCCGGACCCCAAGGTCCGCGCTCTATCAGGCAACTACAACAGAGCCTCTCGCGCAAGTTACGGAACACGCGAGGAACAATCGCAGCCGCGACAATCACGCTCGATCAATTGCCGCGCCATCGATGATTCGAATCCCACAAGGACCGAGCGCACGCATCTCGAGCGAATCAGAATCCCCCGGAGATCGCGCGCTATCAGGCAACTACAACAGAGTCTCTCGCGCGACTACGGAATGGCAAGGCGTAAACGAGAAACCCCGGACCCGCGCCCAGGCCCGAGTCAATCAAGCGAAGACCTCACTCCTACACTCAGTTAGGTTCAAACACTTCTAAAGTTATCAAAATCTGTCGCTAATAACTTAAGTTTTTTCAAATTTTAATACAAAAGAAAGTATATTATTATGTTTGGCAACAAATTCCTATTATTGCCTTCTAAAGTTTTGCCTCATCTAATTTTTAACGTAGAAAATAAATTTTTTAGAATTAGAGGCAAATAAAAGTGGTGTTATTGGCTTATTTCCTTTTGATTTATAGTGATTAGTGATAATATACTTCATGCGACAGATAATGAATGTGCCTCTAAAAATGTGTTTTCAGTTACAGCAAATTAATCTGCCTCTGATTTCATTACTATCTATTTTGAAAATAAAATTAGAGTTTACTTTAAATGAAAATTGTATCTACATTAATTATCATTTAATAATTCTATAATTGCCTTAACAGAATGAGAGAGAGAGAGACATGGCCAACAAACTCGGCCCATCACCCGTAACCTCAGGGTGAACCCAATCTTTTCCTCAAAGGGACTCCTACTAACCCTTATTTGCGAATTCCTAATCTCCTCATTGCTCCTGCAACCATGTTCTTTATTCTTTTTCCATAGCAGTGCTGCGGCCATTTTCGTTGGGACGAAACAGGCGAATCATCAATATGCACGAGAAGTGACACTCGCTGCAACCAATGATGGTAATATAATATACTCTTTACCCTCCTTGAACTCCATAGCTTCTCTGGTATCCCCTTCCACCATCATCTGGTACGACTTCTTTTGGGGTTTTCTTTCTAATTTTGCTTTGGGCTTTCCCTTCCAACATCATGGAGTTATGATTTCCACTCCTGAAACTGGTTCCTCCCTTTCAGGGACTAGCGTGAAGAGATCGCATCTGAGGCCATTGCATCATGAACGGTAATTTAATTACCGATTTCTAAATACTTTGTTCCCACTTCATTTCCTTTGAAGCTACTCCGTAATCAAAATCAATTTTTTTTTATTGAATTTAGGGTGCCTGAATTACCCTAAATCCACATCGAGAACAGTATCCGAAGAAGGCTGCAATGGTGACTACATTGACGATGAGTATCATGAGCGCTTCATTGGATCAATTCAAGGAGATTGCTAATTAGTACAAAGGTTGCCCTATCTGAAAATAATTGAAGCAATAATATGCAAAAATTTGAAGTCTGCTACGTGACGAGCTTTTTGGAAGAGAGGACTATTGAATCTAGTTCTTCTTCTTATGGGAACCAGTATTTTTTTGTATGGTTCCTTATTGTTTGTATGTTTTATATGTTGAGAATTTTGTTTGGTTTAACCAATGGCTACACGATAGCCGGTAGTATACTACTTAAGAGAGAGATGAATTAACCATTAGAGGCACATAGCCATAAACTTATTTAAAGGCTTATGCAATTGTCCCCAAAATGAACTACGGCAGTAGAAATATATGCCGCTAAATGTAAAATTAGTAGCAAATATTTGAGCTACTAAAGTGAGGGAAAAAAAATTAAATTGTAATTTAAAATTTAAATGAGCTGCAAAATAATCTGTCGCAAATTTGTACATTAGGAGCAAATAATATTTGTCGCTAACATCTGCCGCTAAAGAGATTTAGCGGCAGCAGTATTGACAGCACACATTTATGTGCTGCTGTATGGCTATCGAGGCAAATAAATGACATATCGTGACAAATACATTTAGCCGCTAAATGTTAATTTTCTTGTAGTGTGGTATGCATTATGCATTCAAGTTTTTTCAATATATATTCCTCAGTTATAAGTATATATAAACTTAGTTACAAACCATATTTCGATGATGGGAAACTGAAAGTCATAAATTTAAAATATAAAATATTTAAAGAATTAGAATTAATACAAATTTGATTTATTAATTAGTGTGTGTTTTTCTCCCTATCAATATCCTTTTTTCTATTGAGAATTATTGGTGTTGGCATTATTAAACACTATAGGTGTTATTATACTATCTTTTCTCGGGGGTTCTTCCTACTGCTCATTAGCCAACACGTGAAATCCAAGATATTTAATCTTTAACTAGACAAAGTATATATGTATTAGGGCTGTCAATTCGGTTGCCGGTTAGCGGCTAACCGGCCGGGCTAACCGTTAACCGCCGGTTAGCGGCTAACCGGAAACCGAAAATAATAAGGGTCGGTCGGTTGGCGGAGGCTTTCTATGGTTAGGCGGTTAGCCGATTAACCGACGCCAGTTAACCGGCTAACCGACTCTAACCGACCGACAGTACGACCCCGTTTTGGCAAGCTGAAACGACCCAACCCTAGCATCCTCAGAGGCCAGAGCCTCTCCTCGAGCTTGGCGTCGATGAGATCAGAGCTGCCGCTGCTCATCGAGCTCTTCTCCATATAGTATATATATATATATGAAATGATAGTGCTACGACGATGGAGAAACGGGGAGAGAGGAAGAAGGTGAGGGAAGGGAAGGGGAGAAGAGAGAAATGGATCCCTGGTTTCTCCTCTAAAGGGTTTTCCTTTCCATTTCCTTTGCTTTGCTCCCAACTTTAATTGAAGAGGCGGCAGAGAGGATAGAGAGAGAGAGTGAACAGTGGAGAAGGGATTGGATTGAAAATAGAGGAGAAAGAAAAATTATGAACTTTGCACAATCTCTCCCTTGGAGGTGTAAGCACACTCTCTCGCCTCTCTTGGCAACCGTGCTGGGTTCAGTAAAATATGTGGGTACAGCAAAATATGTGGTGGAGAAGGAAGGATAGAGCAACCCAACGCAGAGTTCCCAAGATGATCCCTCGTTCCCTTCGCCAAAGAAAGAAAAAAAAATTTACACGGAAAAAAAAAAGAAAGAAAAAAAAAGCTGTCAGTCACCTCGGTACGTTTTCCCAAAACCAAGACAACACTGTCTCAACCTCTCTAATTATTGGGGTCTTCGGTCGGTCAGGACAGCAGACCGAACCGACCATTTCTTTTGCGGTGCTGTCGGTTTAACCGCATCTTAACCGAAACCGCCCGTTCGGTTTACGGATAACCGAGGCGCCAGGGTCGGTCGGTGGGCGGTGTACCTGGTCAGGTCTCGGTTTAGCCGAAAACCGAGAATTCGGTTTTCGGTTAAACCGAAACCGACCGGTTGCCAGCCCTAATATGTATAGCTAAAGCTTCACTACAAGAATTCCCTCTTGTAGCTACGAATTATTAGCCATAAATGATAATATTGTAGTTAAATACAAATAATAACCACATAAATTATATACCGTAACAATTAACGGAAGATTTAGTCACAAATGTGTTTACCTGTAGCTCGTTTTGGTATTATTCTTTACATTTTGAATACTATAGCAAGTAGTATCGTTTAGCCATAAAAGTTCAAGCTATGTTAAACCATCGTAGCATATTATTTTATTTAGCTACGAAAGTCACCTGTCTGTGACAAAAGTGAATGTAACATTCAACTTTCAGACATATAAAGTAAAATGGTAACTACTTATTGTGATTAGCTAAATATTTGAAAGTGGTGTAGCTAGTAGCTAGTAACTAGAATGTCTGATGTACCACTATATCCATCTTTGTTCATTTTTTTAACAGAATCAGAAGTCTTGTTAACACCATTAACGACAAATGGAGGCGGACTCCATCTCGACTCTCATGATTGTTCGAGATGGAATAATTCATGAAATACAAATCTAAAACAAACTACAACACATTACATTGTTGTCAACCTATTCATATTACTTAAAATGGAAAAGACTAAACTTGGAGATAAATCGATTTCTCACACGACCAAATGTTCAATTAGAACACCCATCATTTAGTAGAGCCAATTCTCCTTGAAATGACATCAAAAGAAATTCCATTTTGTTGGAGTCGTTCTTGGAGATCCATCGGGCCAAACACGATCCCAGGAGTGAGAACTCCTCCTTTAGGCAGTCTGTCACGTTGACCTAGAACGATCAGAGCACATTGTAGCAAAATAATAGGAGTCGTCAAATAGCCCGCATCGGGACCCATAATTCTTGTTATGATCTCCGCATCGACCTCCTTGTCTCCAACATTTATTGACGTCCTCAAGTCACTGTATCCACGTCCAACGAACCACATCTTGAACGAAGCGCTCGCGACCTCATCCTCGGAAGGACCCTTCTTGCTGAACCATCCAAGGCTGAAAAAGGATGGGAAGTTTAGGAGTAGCCACCTTCCAACAGAACTTCTAGCCAAGAGCCCAACGAACAAGCCTAGAACAATGAATTGAAAGACACCTATCAAGCACTCAGAGCCCATCTTCAACCCGAAATGAGCAGGATTCACCATCGACCAAAATTTCTTCCTCTTCTCAATCTGATCATCACTCTCATCACATCCCGGAAAACCATTAGGGTGTTTTGTTAACATTTCAAGCGTTCTACTTACAACTGCAGTATCCGCTGATGGAAGCTTTATGACCCAAAGATCAAATTCCTTTTGGTAATCTATGAGTGGTCCTTTATGAGGATATGGCCCAGGAATCTACAACAACAATGAAGCATTAATATGGTCCAATTTGAATAAATTTTGTTTAATGGTATCCATAATTTAAATATTTGTTCCGAAACCTTAAATTGACCATCTAGAAAAAAAATCAATCATTAGGCGATAACATGACACCCACATTGATGTGGTTAGGATTTTACTTAGCATGGATACTAGGTAAAAATAAAATGCATAGAAGGAACTTCATAACCAGTAACGTTTTTCATATTTTGATAATTTTCTAGAAATTAAATGGGACAAGCTAGTGGAGATAGTCGAAATTTTCAAATAAATCATAATGAACTTGTTCCTTTTATACAAAAATTTCAAAATTCAAGTAAAAAAAGAAACCGGTACATAGTAGTACCAAAGTGGTAACATATGGTAGGAAAAAAAATTCTCGAAATATATTGAAAATTGATATTCATTTGTATATCACAAGAAGCTCGTTCCATCTGTACAAAATTATTTGAAATTCTAAGTTAAAACAAAAAAAAAAAAAAAATCAATCAAAAAATATATGAAAAAATATAAAATCTTACAATACCCACCCATTATATCTGACTCCACTTAAAAGCAATAGTACATGTATCTAATTATACAGCACCCATCTTGAACATGTTAGGACCGTATCCGAGTATGATAAAATACTAATATCAATATATTAGAAAAATGTCATGACAAAAAAGCATAATGCAACGTAAAGTACCGAAGGTTTCTTCCTCACCTTTGGCTTAGACCTTCTGGGTCTGGATCTCCTCAGCTCTATCAATTTGTCCACGTTGGCAACACCCAGAACCGCCGATTGGTAAGTCCCGAAGTTGGCAACAATGTTCTTATCAGATTCCAGGCTCAAGTAAGCCTCGATCCGGTTCGGCACAGCCGGGTAGACCCACTGCTTCGAGTTAAACATCCAACCCAGCTCAGCCGGGACCGAATCGAACCCACAAGCCGAAACAACCAACGAACCGGTCTCAACCGCTTGGTCGTGGTAAACGAACTCCATCCTCTCCATAAACTCCGGCTCGCCGCAGATGTCCAAGTAATCGCAGCCGGCCTGGACGCAGGCCGCCACGACAGGGCCTCCGTGGAGACGAAATGGGCCGACGCAGTTGAGAACGAGCCTGGTCCGAGAGCAGAGCATGCGTAGTGAAACAGGGTCGGCGGTGTCGGCGGCGAGGATTGCGATGGACGGAGGTGGAGAGTTGGGCTTTGCGGCCCATTTGAGGGCGTCCAACAACTTGGAATGGTTTCGGCCCGCAACGGCGAAGGATTTGAGAGGTGAAGATGGGGTGTTGAGGAACTTGAGTGCTTCTCTTACGACGTATTTGCCAGTGAATCCGGATGCTCCTAGGATTATGAGATCGTAGGGAGGAGATGGGTTGCTGCCGTCGTCGTCCATGGCCAAATTGAGTTGAAGTGCGTGCCATTTCTGGGGCTGGTTTGTGCGCAGGTAATATGGGGGCATATGGCGGATGGCCTAGCTAGTAGGGCTACCTTTCTGGAGAATGCTGTGGCATTAAAGTTCTGGCAGCTTATCGCGAGCTCCATCACCAATAATCAATCCTCCATGGCTCCCGCGTCAGTTCTTGTTTCCTTGTTCAGTGGCTTTCTTCGATCTGACATTTAATTGGGTAGAGGGGAGAAATTGGGTAGGTGGGAACAGAGCAGGGAGCATGTGTTGAACGTTTCCCAAATTTACCTCCATTTTTCACCTTTTCAGGTGTACTCTCTATATGTTTAGTTGGATTGTAAAACGGTATCGGAAACGTCAGTCAATCGATCGTAGAGTATTTTTATGTTGAAATCGTGGTTTAACAGTGGTTCAATCATTTCATACCGTTGAAAACCATCTACCTATTTAAACTCTTATAGAAGGTTTTCTTAGTCGGGCCACTGATACGTTGTAGGGGATTTAGAGCAAATGTAATGGCGCACCCAACTCCGTTGCCTGGTGCTTTCAATTTCCAAAATGTTGTAAAGGCAGACAGGCAGTCAGGGGCGGAGACACAGTGTTGGCACACCCTTGGGTCGGGGCTAGAACATTAAAAAATAGGGGTATTAATTTATGCTATAGCTAGGATTTGAACATGAAACCCCCTTACTATTAGCTTTGACATCTTCCACTAAACAACAATTACTTACATGATACAATAATACGTTCTATTGCATATATATAATTTACCATTTACAAATAATAAGTAAATTAAATTAAAAAACCTCATAATTACATGCTTATTCAAGAAGTAAACGAATGTATTTTACAGACTTTTCAAAATATGAAAACCCGTCGTGGATCACTATAAAAAATTGATAGTCATTTTAATTTTTTTAAATTGGCACCCCCTTACTCAAAATCCTGGCTACGCCACTGCAGGCAGTGGTGACCGGTGATGTCTGCCATCTCCCACCTCTGCCTCGGTGCTTACCGTCAGTGTAGTCAAAATCGCGCTTTAAAACTTAAAAAACTTACGATTTTACGTTTCTATGTCACTAAAACGCTTGTACACAAAATCTCAATCTTTATAGCCTATGCAGTTAAAAACTCTGATTAATTAAAAACTTACGATTTTACGCTTCTAGATCACCAAAACGTTTCTACTCAGAAACTCGCTTTTGACTACATTGCTTACCGTAGCAGTGGTCACTGTCGTGGAACACACCAAATTGCACGAAACCGCGGTAAACGATATCTCCAAAATTAGTGTCCGGAGTACCTTAGAATTTATTTTCTATATATCCTATCCTTTTGTACTTAATTAAGTAAACCAGATTTCCATGGAACTCATCCATTGGAGGGGGTAAAATCTACATTTCGATGGAAACACTAGTACTCATAAAATGTGTAATTGTATTTCTTCGGATCGATCATCATAGGTAGAGTCCCGCTATTTATTTAATTTGCTCCAACTCCAAGTATATAATGTGTCAGCATATGGCGGGAGAGCTTCATTTTCCATAGAGGCTTAGTCTGGACAAAGAGACAAGAAGCTTGTTGAAGCCATTGCAAATCAGGTGAGACATATCCTGCATTTCATTTTGCTGCCTTGTTATGAAAAAGTAGGGATGACATTCTTAGATATATATAAGTTTACATTCTGTTTACTTTGCTGCAAGGGTATCTCTGCAATGCTGCAAATAAATGGTGTTTCTGTAAGGATGCAAGTTAATGAAGGAAGTTGATATGTTGCTTTATCCTTTGAACAAGTTTGGCCAACAAGCAGGGATATTCCCAGAAGCATATGTGAACCTTACAATGAAGGTGAGTGATTTAAACAACAGAAAGGGTGATTAAGTGAATTAAACTTCTTGGATTAGCACTAATTATTGGGATTTCACTTCTTTGGTATGTGTTTCAGTGCAGGGTGTTTAATCTAGAACTTCATTGTGTGGAAAAGCCTGTTCCTGATTACGTCCAGGCAACAGTATCCTGTATCCACAGTGCTTCCGATTCATGATCAGGTGATCTTATGGATATAAATGAAACTTATGGTCTCTAGTTGAGGCAAATCACTCAAGGTGTTGAGATTTCTGTTTATAAATGTCTGTGTGCTCTGTGTATCATAAGAATAAGCTTTGTTAGATAACTGGCTAGACAAATGGGTGCAACCTATAATCTACTAAATATGAATCTTGAATCAAATTCAGACCAAGGACCTTTGACAAATGGGACCAAATAAAGCCATATATTGCTAGTATCTGCATCTTCCTCGTCTCCTCATGTCTTCCTTCCTGCAGCTATTAATCTCAGATCAACCGACTTAGTGTTAAATTTCCTTTTGGTTTTGAGTCTACTATTCATCTTAATTTTCCTTTCATGTAGGGAGTCGGTGTCAGCAATACGGATAGATCCAGAACTGCCATGGGGCATCAGCAAACAAACAGGTAACAACTAAATATAATACCAAGACTTGTATATTTATTTTAGTTTATGCCCGATGAAGTGGGTAAAAGGTCAACATTACACATGTAATTTACTTGGGAAGACTTTTTTTTACTTCCAGATTGTGCTTATGGTTTTTTGGTATAATAAGGAACATATTTTTTGTTTCAGAAAGAAGCAACTAGGTTGATGTAATGAACGTGAAGCTATTACTTTGCTGCCTAGTCTATGTGTTACTTGCTGCCTAGTTCTTTGTGTGATATCATGAATACTGGTAAACTGAAGGAGCTTGCCCCTTATACTGCACTTGAGCTGGTGGGTTTTGAGAGATGAAAGCTCAAACGACTTGCAGGGGAAAAAAGTGATCAAAATGATATTTATGTAGGTCTAAATGTGGCAACAGGTCATTATAGCTTTTTACACTCTATAGATTTTCTTAAATGATCAAGAACCATTTTCTAGTTGTTGTACAGGATCCAATATCAATTATGGGGTGAATTTGTTTTTGTTTTGGCAGACATGCAAGACCTTGTGGATAACTGGTGGAATTGCTCTCATAATATCTTGACCCTCGTGGCTGGCTACCAACTAAGTAGGTTCTATCTACTCCCTTTCTTAATTATATGATGCTATAATCTTGATTATTCAGTGTGGAGTGCAACTCGTCGATAGGTTTCTACTTTATGTTATGGGTTGCTGGTCAATTTTCAATTTGAACTTGCTACTGCAACATGTTGCTACTGCATTGTGTGACATTTAGTTTCTCTTCTATTATCAATATGAAGAGTAGAAGCCATTCTTAATATGAAAAGTAGGCATGTCTCTTACAAATATAGTTTACATTCTGAGTAAGTAAATGTACCTAGCAAAATAGCTAAAAAGGTAGCTAATCGTAGTTTTACATTCTTCTTCCTTACCTTAGAATTGTGCATTGCTGAACGGCTATTTCTGTTTTGATGGATGAAGGGTTGTTTGCAGGTTTGTCAGGGTTCCAGTTAATTGAGGAAGCTGATGTTCTAACTTGCACTGTGCTGGATTTGGTGGTACAAGGACCTAAGAAGGACCGTAAGTGAGAGTTTGGTGGGTTAATAGGACTATAAGCAACTTGTTTAAGTTCAGTTTTGAGTTTTTGATAGAATGTTAAACATGGAACTCCTCAGATTTTGAATTGAAGGAATGTTGATCGATGGTTTATTATTGTTGATTTGGTAATTCCAAGTTAGATTGGTTTTAATAGTTGAATTTGTTAAAGGGTTGTGACAAAAAAATATTACAGCAGATTTGGGGTGTGATCATAGATCAGGGAATTAAAAAAAAAAGATAGCTTCATTAGCGACGGTCTCTTTCTTTTAGCGACGGTTAGAACTGTTACTAAGTAATTTGACCCTTTTTTTGAAATATTATTTCACGACGGTTCTGTTAGAGAAGACGACGGTTGATAGCGTCGCTAAAGTTTGCTGACGGTCAAGACGACGGTCGACCGAAAGTGTCGCCAAAAAATTTAAGGACTGCTGGGTCAGTGACGTTTGGTCAGCCGTCATTAAATTATTTAGCAACGGTTTTGACCGTCGCTAACAATAAAAAAAACCGTCGCTAAATCACTGTTCTGCTGTAGTGTTTGCTCCAACTCCAAGTATATATGGCGCCTACTACAACTATAGGGGCGTGTAGTTGGAGCTGGCCGGCAGTAGTATAGTAAATACTCTGTTTATATGTATTTCATTCGTTTAAAATTTTCATATTCGTATTAATGTCAAACTGTTTTATTTATCAAGTTCATTGTATGTTTTTCATACTGAATACGTATAAAACTCGTGGAACATAATCGTACCGTATTTTACTAGATTAACCTCTGGTGCAGACTATCATAGGGAGATTATTGCAATCCAGATTTGGGTTTAAAGAGAAGAGCTCCTCCATTGTGATGCCGACTCTTTCCACCAAAGACCTGCACGTGTCTGTTGGAGCCACCACTGTTACTCCTGTACAATACTCCCCATGGGCAGCTATACGTAACACATACATATGTACGTAAGTATTATACCGTACGTAAATCAAGTTCAGCACATCATCAGTAACATGCTAATTGAAAATAATTAACAGCAGATCGAGAGAGGGATCGTGGAGGAAATGAATTAATGAAATTCATTAAACATGCATGCATTATATATAATCACCTGCAAAGATTGGAGATCGGCCAACATCGGCGTGGAGAAAGAGTACTGCTGCGGCAATTACCATCACCAGAAGAAGAAGAGATGGGGTGATTCTCCTTCCCAACGTGGTTCCAGACTTCTTCATCATCGTCGTCATCGTTCTATATATTGTATAATTGTTTTAAGAAATTATGTTTTTATTTTCCCTCTGTTTGATAAATATGACCCGATCCCGCCGGCCTTATTTATAGTGCATGCTCAGGCAGAGTGGCACGACCCCTAAAATTTGAGCTTATTAGGAAATTCAATAATAAAATGAAGAAGAAGACAGTTTTGTTAGCCATGTTCTCATTTCTCTCTCAATTCTGTCCTTTGTGCTCATTTAGCCCGGTCGTCGGCCGGCATTATCCTTCCGGCGATACCTTCCTTCTTTATTCCGGCATATCTATGATAATAATAATTCCCCTCAATTATATATGTCTATTTTTTTCCACTACTTCCCACATAGAAATCCTACTGCATGCCGGAAAATGATAGTTTATTCGTTTAGCACTTTAGCTAGCTAGCTTAATTATTAAATCTTGGTCAGACTGAGTATTTGACAACCTCTTTCTATCTCATTTTTTTAAATCCTAGTTCTCACATCAAAGCCCTACCTACCTTCTGCATAATGCTGGTTCTTGTAGCATTAAAGTTGTGGCTCATCGTCATCGCTAGCTGCCTAGCTCCACCACCAATCAATAATAGTCCTCCATGGCTCCCGCGCCAGTTCTTGTACGTTTAATTTCTTTGTTTTGTGGCTCTCTTCCATCAGACATTTAATTTAGTGCTGGCTATTTGGTCCGGACTGTTTGGTTTTAGCCGAAACCGGACCGTATAACCCGGACCGGGACCGGACTGGAACCGGATAGCAAACAATCCAATCTCATATTCGGGCTAATTAGATTTGAGGTAAAAAACCGGATAAGAGACCCAAACATCTAAAATCAAGATCTAATTGGGACCGGACCGGGTCAAGACCGGATTGTATCCAATCCAATCTTTGGTCCTTATATTCCCGAAAAAACCGGACTGGGACCGGATCAATTTGGTCCAATTCAACCGGACTGGACCATATAGCCACCCCTAATTTAATTGGGTGGTGTACGGAGAAATTGGGTACGCGTATATGTGTCAAAAAAAAATCTGACCCAACTAATCTGTCTGATTAAACCGACCCGCAATTCGAATGGATTAAAAGTTAATCACCCGTAACTCGCCTGTCCAATGACCCGATTGACCCGTGATCCGATTAATCAGTAACCCAAATACTACGTAGCCCAATTAATCCGAACCCGATTGACCCGCAACCTGATTAAACACGTAACCCGATTGGTCCGAACCCGACTAACCCATAACCCGCCCGATTAACTCAAATAATTATTATATTATATATTATATAAAATTTCAAAATGAAGTTTGTTTGTTGTAAAACTAAGTAAAACTAGTTTTCATTTTATAAAAGAAAGTTCAAAAAATGATATTGAGTTGAAATTATGTATTTTTAATAATAGAAATAAGAGAAAGAAATAAGGGGGAGATTTGATGCTTTGGTTTATAGGAAGAGAAAGAAGTGGGAAATTTTGGTGATTTCAATTTTTTGGGGTAAAAGAACATGGAAATTTTGTGCTTAAATTTTTGGAAAAGAAAGAAGGGAGGGTTTTGGTCTTTTGGTTTATAAGAAGAGAACAAGTGGAAAATATTGGTGTTTTCAAATTTTTGAAGAAAAAATATGAGGAAAATTTGGTGCTTATGTTTTGGGAAAAGAAAGAAGAGGGAATTTTAGTGCTTTGGTTTATAGGAGGAGAAAGAGGTGGGAAATTTTGATGTTTTCAACTTTTTGGGAAAAAAAAGAAGAGGAAAATTTGGTGTTTCAAGTTTTGGAAGAAAAAAAATGAAGAGGGAGTTTTGGTGCTTTTAATTTATAGGAAGAGAAAAGGATGAGAAATTTTGATGTTTTTTATTTATGGAAAGACAAAATAAGGGGAAAATTTTGTATTTTAATTTTTTTAAGAGAAAGAAGAGAGAAAGTTCATCATAATGTTTACATATGATGGTTTATGAGTTCAATTAATTATCAATTTGATTTATCACAATGTTTACATATGATGATTTAGGAGGCAACATTTAGTGACTAAAATACTGTCCATACTCTATAACAAACTTTACTATAGCTATAGGCATGACTAATTTGATATAGTAGATTTGAGAACACATAAAAAGTTATCCTATCTCAAAAGCATATTATTTTACATTTAGATTGGAAACTTAATCTTACTCACTAATTCTCCTACCAGATTTTCATTTAGGTGGGAAACTTTCCCCCTCTCATTTTTATATTGTCAGCCCAACTTTTCACTTCTCCAATGTTTCCCTCCCCACTTTTCGTTCTTCCCATTTTGCTTTCCCTCTTCAATTAGTCCATACCAAAATGAAAATCTAATGAGGGAAAATTCCCCCCCCCCAATTCGACCCACCAACGTTTCAATTCCTTTATTATTAAGCTCGATTTCCATCTCTCATAAACTGTTGTTAATAATATTAGTGCACTTTCTAGATTTTGCATATGGATATAAATTAAGATTATTGATTGACAACGAATTGCAAAACATTTACAGGAACCTTGATTCATATATATTTTTGTTAAATAAAAAGTTTATATTTTACTGAGAATTAGCCTTGTAATTTATTATATATAATTCATGTCTTTTTTTACTTAATTTTGCTTCCCATTGCATTGTCGGCCAATTTTCTTTTTGCTTGATATATATTGCCGCCCAACTTCTTCATTCCCGCTCCAAAAGGCCGCCCAATTTTCATTTGGATTGATCTATATTGCCGCCCAATTTCGTTTCGATTAATCTATATTGTCGCCAAGAAATGTTGAGATAAAAAAAAGTGTTTTTCTTCTTTTTTTTTAGAGTGGTGTTTTGTTTGGTTTGCTAATAGTAAATGTTGATATCGCCATTACTGTTAGCTAGTTCACTTTACTAATTATGATTAATTACATGACAAGTTTGCAAATCATACAAATTGATTCAACATTTTGACTAATTTTTTCTTTTAACTCGATGCGTTGCCCCGAACAACCCGCAACTCGATCCGCCCGCAACCCGTCCGACCCGAAACCCGACTAACCCGCAACCCAGTTGAAACCGAACTCGATTGGACCCGAACTGATGAACCCACAACCCGACAACCCGAAACTCGACTAACCCGCAACCCAATTGAACCCGCCCCGAACCCGCCCGATTGACATCTATAGGTACGTAGGTGGAAACAGAGAAGGGAGCACGTGTTGAACATTTCCCAAAATTACCTCCATTTTTCACTTTTCAAGTCCTCTCTTTCGGTAGGTTTATATAATACCATTTGTAATATCGTACTAGAAGTCATACTAGACTCGTTGGTGGTAAGGTATTTTATGATACTACAGTTGTTCAATCATTTCGTACCAATGAAATACAATTTGAGAATATTAAGATATTCTTTTTGTGAAAAAAGTAAACCACAGTTATCGTTCAGGAGTAATACTGGAATAAAATCGAAATATATCGATATCTAAAATATTATATATTCAAAGATGACTATGAAGAGTGGCGGTGCCACATTGTGTTGAACTTCCTACTATGTCAGAAAGACATGAAATTCTACTCATCGTTTCTCATACGCCTAATTCAGTCTATGTAATATTTTTTATAGGCTGGTATTGTTATGAGAAATAAGAAATTAGATATATATGGATTCAAATAATTTGTGGATTTATAGATTCAAGTGACATTTAAATTAATCTTGGATCATTATGAAAATTTTAAAAAATTTAGGTACCAATAAAAATTCATTATAAAAATAAGTACCAAACTCTAATAATTGTATTGGCCCATCAATAAATACAAGCCTATACTTGGTCTTCAAAATGATCCTAATGCTTATAAAAAAATAATGATCCTAATGAATTTAGCTCACATTTGGTAATTTGTCATTTACAACTACAAAAATGGTGGATTGTACTAATTAAATTCCCTTTTTTCTATGTAGTTTTGCTTTTTTAGCTAAATGATACTGAAGAGATTCGACTAGATTATCATTAGAGTTCAAGCCTATACTTGTAATCAATGAAGTAAACCAGACTTCCATATATGGAACTCATTCATTGGGGGAAAAAAAGTAGATTATTACGTTGGATTGGAGAGACAAGTATACTCATTAATAAAATGCTAATTTTTATTTCTTGAGATGGAAGAACCATGGCTACAACAGTATTGTAGCTGTTTATTTCCTCAAACTATATATGGTGACTACAACTTTAGGAGGTCTAGCAGTCGTCATTGTTAAACTAGAAACTGTTACAGAGGTACGTAGGTACGCAATGTCTGCATGCATGCATGCAGTAACATTTAATAAGTGTAACATCATATAGATTAATAGATGGTTCATTAATTTAATTTTAACCCGTGGTGCAGATCGTCATCCCGTAGTGGATGTTGTCGCAATCCAGATGCGGGTTTAAACGGAAGAGCTGCTTCATTGTGACGCCGCCATTTCTCGCCACATCGCAGCACGTGTCCGTTGTACTCACCACTGTTACTCCTCTACAGTTCTTCACAAAATGCGCAGCTATACACACAAGCAACACAAAATATGTTGCGATCGATCGAGTTCAGTTCATCAGTAACTTGTTAAACAATATCATGGAGGAAAATGAAGGAAATTCATCAGACATGCATATATATAATCGATCACCTGCAAAGATTGGAGATCGGCCAACATCCGCGTGGAGAAAGAGTACCATCGCCAGAAGAAGAAGAGATGGAGAGATTCTCCTTCTGATCAACATGGTTCCAGACTTCATCATCGATCGTTCTCGTTCTATATATATATTGTGTTTGTTTAAGAAAAAATGATGTTCTTTTGTGTTTTGATATATGATCCATTCCAGCCGGCCTTATTTATAGTGCTCAGGCTGGAAAAATTAAATTTGAGCCGGGCTAGCTGCCGTACGTGTGGAGGAGAATTTAGTGCAGCCTTAGG